TGCACAGCGTTTCACTGCGTAGCCGCTTACCTGAACCTCCTGACCTCGCCCTTTATGTTCAAATCGAACTCATCCGAACGGTAAGCTTGACTTTGTGAAAAAGGGTTAGTAATGTGTTTGATAAACACTATGAAAGTATTTGCTGGTTACCTTTGCAACCTTCACAGGTGAGAGCGTTGTAGTGATATCCAGAAGCCTTGTCTCCACACACCAGACACAGTTCCTCGCCTGGCACGGCCAACGCTGGAGCTCGGCATTTCAAGCCTCGCGCTTTTCTCGCCTGACCCTTAATACTCGATCTTACAAAATTTCAATCGCAGCACTACAGAGAAACGGCTGAATAACCCAAAACTGGGTGGTCATGTTGCTTCCCTAAAACATAGGTCGGCCCATACCTTCCAAGTGTCTTACAAACCCACGTGTTTGGGGAGCGATCGTCGTCTAATGGGGAGCGTTGCACTTGCGAAGTCCGCTCCATCTTGACACAAGCGTGGATGAGAAAAGCAGAGCAATAAAGTCAGCGTCCCCCTCACATTTTACGGGTTTTATTCATTACTATTTGCTTAGTTACTTTCATTTCCTCCGAATGCTCCCTTTATGTGTACCTGCTAATCTACACACTGAAAGACCTAGCTCCAAAGTGATGGAGGAGAAAGCGAGCAACTTGAGGAACATAAGAAAGTCGAGAGAGTAGTGGAGAAAACGAAGAACTTCTGGTCTGGATTTCTAGAGACGTAAAACGGAGACAAGAGTGACTGCCGACCTGAAGGACGGTTTTGCAAATGAAATACGCAGAAGAGATGAAATACGTATTTTCCCTCAAGTGAAGGAGATCCTTCAAACCATTGCCCTCGCCAGAAATTGAGATGTTGATAGAGAAATTCGGGATCAGCGGAGTAACAAATGTCACAGGCATCAAAGAGAAACTCTGGGCAGGCTTCTGTATTTCAAGATCCAAATCACTGAGCCCATGAAATTTGAGCTCCTATTTTTGATATCAATAAATGAGACTTCAACTTGTGAGAGTCCATGAAACATGAGCCCATATTTTTGACACCGAGAAATGAGGCTTTTGATCCCTGTACTGTCATTAGAACCGAATTAGGTGTTCAGTTATGGGGGAGGGTAGGGGAAACCTCCCTAGGCTTGTTTCTTCGTATGATACTTATCATTGAGGAGATAGCCAAAGCTGCACATTTGGGAGATCCAGTGAGAAAGGGGACGAATCAATATGCCATTGTTCCACCTGCCAGGAAGTCCTTAGTTTTTGCCTTGCTCTTTAGACATTTTGAGAAGATCTCACAGCCAGAGTTAGTCATAGACAGCAAAAATGAATTCACCTAGCATAATTTCACACGGGACAGTTTAAGGCACGTTTCCAATCGAACGAAATCATTTCTCCCGAAATTAAAGTTGAATAACTGGTTTTTTACAGGTATCTAAGCGCCCTTGCTATGGCGAGGCTCAAGGACACCTCGGCGATGGGCATGTTGATGTTAAAGGCAAGAATCGGATTACATTGATGGGTTGATTCCACTCAAATGTGAAAGTAGGGATGGGAGGTGGACCGCCAGTGGAGAAAAAAGGAAAGAAAATCCTGAAATACACAGGAAATACGAGCATTTTGCTCATGCTGTGGAGAAGTTCAAAAGACAGGCAGGGAGATGAGAGATAATGTGAGCGCGGAGAGTGGTAGAGAAGTCCGAGAAGAGAGAGCATAGCAGATCAACGCAGCGACGCAGACAAGACATCGATCGGTGGGCGGACCATGTTATGTTTGGTGGAGTCTGTTAGAAGTTCATGGCGCCTAGGGTCCTGGTGACGGGTTTCGATGTAGAAAGGTGGCGCTAACTTTGCACTAGCCATGGTAAGAGCTTCTAGGTGGGTCTGAGCCCGAACTTTGCCTTTACGATATGAGTGTCCGACTTAATAGGAATTGGCGTCAGGCGCATTCAAAAAGATCGCAGACACCACTGACTCACTGCTGTCAACTCTTTCTTCTCTATTCTGTTCTATCGAAAATGAATAAATTGGTGTCCTTTTCATTCTTTTCTGGCCGGAACGAGATTGTAATAAAAATATAATATAATTTTGTCCCGCACTAAGCCAGAGAACTTCTTCTGTCACTCGTGAGTCATGCACCACTTGCCCAATCTTCCACATTTGGCGCATTACCGTATTCCTTTTATAAAATTATTGAAAATTCCATTCTCTATTAGAACAATGGTAACACCTTCACGGTCTATGGATCGCATTACTCCTGAGCCGTATATTATTCTTTTTGGCCAAATGAGCTTCACTAATCCCTCGCACATGTTTTATTATTAAATATCTATTATTATTACACCTTATATCATTTCATTACTTTTTTTTTCATTTTTTTATTTGTTATTTTTTATTTGTTTCATTCGAAATGATCGAATGCTATCACCGCATAATTTTCATTCATTATTTTGAGGAATTACCAATTAACTAATTATTTTGAAAAGCAAAAAAGAATATTTTCAGTATTTACCAACAAAATGCCTATAATTGTTGGGTGGCCGCCGGTGGTTATGTGGTTGTCGGTATAATGGCTGGACTTCGACTGTGCTGTCTTGGACGTTCTAGGTGATCGCAGAAGAAGGCAGGGATCAGGCATTCGGACCACCGCCTTGGATTTTCCTAGGCGACAGATGGATTTCGTCTACGATTCATAGTCTGTTACAGATGTGCCAATATCTAGGTCGGAGCATGAAAGCCTGGGCTATTGATGCTTCCATCCACTTATTTTATTTCATGTGTTTTTATGTATTTCACGACAGATGTACAGATGTTTTTATTGAAAAGAGCCATTACTTTTTTTATAACTTATGTTCAATTATGACAATTATACCTTGCATTTTTCGACATTATTGCAAGAATACTCTACCTCTCAGTGTGTACATTTGCTGTTCAACACAAGATGCGCCATGAATACCGTATTGAGTATAGATGGCCCTAAAAATTGATTTCGGGATATTCTATTTCCGTTTTTGGCTCGAATTATACAGTTCTTACAAGAAGTACATGAATGGACAGCGAAAAGCGTGGATCATTAAGGGAACTTCTCACTTTTTTTCCATCAGCGGAAGTTTTCTTTTCGACGTGAAAACTGTGGCATAATCAAAAAGGGTCTCAGACAGCAGAGGTGGGGAATAGGAAGGGTGCTTTAATGGCGGGTACTGAAAGCGCAGCGAAAATAGTTAGGGACCTGGTGACGTTCCTCTAACCCGGGGCGCAGTAAAGTACGCTAAACTGGCGATCAAATGTGGTGATTTTCCCTGACGAGGAATAAGGAGCAGTGAACTCATGACCTACTTAAACCGCGACATCGCACAAGTAACTTAGCAAACCGCGCCACTCTCGCACTGAAGTCTGGATATACGGACTCTGGCGGGTTTTTGCCAGTGCACCAGGAGCCACTCGACCTCTTATAAAACATAACACGCACCTACCCTCGAGATGTGAGGGAGTCAGCTACCTTCTTACCCTCAAGATGTGATGGGTCAAGCTACATTCCGCGGATCCATCACAGGAGTCCTCAAGGACATACCGTTGTAAAAGCAAAATCACTTCAACAATTATTTTTTAACCATCTAACAATACAGAGCCTGGCTCACCATGGAAAGAAAAGTGAAGGTTTCCGCGAGAAATGGCAGAGATAGTACAGTGGCTAGAGGCGCCGTTCACAAATGCAGGAGTGGTGAAGTTAGCTCCTAAGTAGAACAGTCCCCATCTGAAGCTAGCCTCCCATACCTTGAAGTTAGTTAAAGGCAGTGGTCACGATGGCGGAGGGGCGGTGCAGTTTTGATGACGTAATTAGATCATATTGCTCGGGAAGCAGTTCCAACCAGCGCGCTGAGGAGTTTAATCCATCATTGACATCCAATGACGTAATCGAAACCTCACTGCTCCAGTTATCGTGATCACCACCTTCAATTAGTACCATGTTCGGCTTCGTAAGACCTATAGGCCATATGTAATTCAGATACTGGCACGATATTGAATGGAAGAAGAATTGGTAGCGTATCCCAAAAAGGATTGACTACTTTGAAATGCTTTTTTCATGGTAGGGCATGCAGTTCCTTTCTTGAGAATTGACGTCGCACAGACAAGCGTCACTAAAATCATATTGAGTGTTTTTGGTGTCGCCATTGTTTCCGGAATGTTCCCGTGTTCTCCGTCGTTGAGCTGCCCTTGGAAGTTGCGTGCGACATATAATGAAGTCAATGATGAAATCTTGAGGCCGCACGGTGTGCAATGAGTCCCGTTTTGACTAGCTATCTGGAGCCGTATCCTATCCTTTCGCAAGGGGACGCGCCTCCGCCGCTGGTTGGGGAGACAGGGTTGTGCCAAAGGATCACTGCGCTCCAGACAGCGCGACCCCTCAGAGAAGTGAGAATGTCGCAACAGTGGAAGGTAGCTACAACAACGTCAATAGCGCTTTCTAGGGCGCAACCCTGTCTCCCCAGCATTAGGATAGAATCAGCGGCGGGGAACTGGTCCCCCTGGGGGAATATAGGATACGGACTCTGATTCATTTGCCAAAGCTAAATCCATAAAAATGAAGTTGACCGGAACGAGGAGTAAACTTTCAACTTATCTATCGTCATTTGAAATGGACTGGAAGCTTCGATCCGTTCATTTTCAGATGAAAATGTAGGGGGGGGGGGGGGGGGGAGACACTCATAATATCTAATCAAAGTGACAATATCTAATCAAAGTGGAGCTGCGGAAGGGCGGTCATATCTAATCACCATGAGCACAGTCTCTGAGTGTATGATTAGATAGGGATACCAACCCGGGATTCCATACAAAATCGGATACCTGGAAGGCCCTTTCTTCGAGGGCTTGCATGGCAGTCGCAAGGAAGTTTGGTGAAAGTGAAGAGTCAGCAAGGTAGCAGCCATTTTAGCCATAGAATAATACGACAAGGTAGAAGTGTGACGTACTGGTCGTAGGCCACTGTCGCAGTGAAAGATATGATGATGTTTGATAAGATATGAGTGTCTTTCCGCAATTCCACTTTATTAGATAGTATAAGCAATCATTCTCACCCATTTATGTAGTAAAACGACCTCGAGAGGCAAATATCACGTCATCGCACTACTTCGGAGTGAACGCAAAAAAGCTTTGGTTATCCTCATTTCTGCTTGCCTCCATTCATTTCGCGACAGTTGACAATGGCGACCCGATGCTTACTTCGCTCGTGCTCACCACCTCCTCTGCAATCTGGTGATGACGGGTACACCCCAGGAGGCCTGTCGCGCGGCAAGAAGGCAGAGTCGGCGGACGAGTTGCAGCGCGTGGTGTGCGATGTAGGACGTGCAGTGAGACACTCTATTTAACTTGACGCGAAATCCCTATAGTACGCGCGCGACTCGTCCGCTGACTTGCCGGTGATGGACACGCTGAGTTTGGCGTTTCTGCCGGCTCTACACGCATCTCGGCCCTCAT